CAAGAACATAATCTGTTAGATGACTAGCAATAAATCGTCCTGAGACCGAACAACAAGAGACTGTGGAGTTTTTCTTTGGAAGCATGGGTTGGAGGAGAAATTTCACCACCACATGGGAACCCAGAATAAGGCCGGGGTTCCCACACTCTGGGAAATGTCTTTTGACTCTAATCAAGATTACTGGCAAAGTAGCAATAAAGTTGGCTTTAGGAACACTGTGTGACTTGCTCATGTTGCAGATGTCTCATCAAAGAGTGCCTCAGTCCCAGATGAACTTGGTGCATGTGGACATTCCAGAACATCAAGCTATGCAAGTCAGCAATCAAAACTGTCAGGTAGCTGTTCACAATTTTGTCATGAGTTGTCAGGGATTATTTTTCTTTCATTGGCTTAGACAGTCGAAAATAAGTTTATGTTTTGAAAACGGTTTGCATTAAAAGCTTTTTCCAAGAAGTTTCAGGTGTGGCAACAGTAACATATTTTCCCTCTTAAAATTTATTGGATTCACTGGATTATTTCTTCAGATGCAAGACTTTTTGCCTTTGTTCCCTCCAATTAACATATCTGAATGAGATTTTTACCTCTTTCATGAGTAAAAAAATGGAGACTTAGCTCTAAAAGCTGAAGGGGATGATGTTTGTCAGTCTAATTGTTCTGATATAAACAGGAATTACTTAGAACAAAAAGAAAATGGCAGGTGCTAGAATACAAAATCTGAAGTCAGTTTCTAGTTGATATATGCACATACATTCATAAGGCTTTTGCAAGTCCCTTTATATGAAGACAAAACACAAATTCTGCTTTCAGGATGGACCTGGCCTGTCAAGAACATACCTAACCCATCTCTCCTGCATTTTCCCAACAGGATATAGTACATGTCATTCTAGATCATCCAGTCTGTCTGAACTCTGCCACAGGAGAAACACCTCAGTGGGGAGTACCTCAGTGGGAAGTACCTCAACAGGAACTGGAAGTATTCTAGAGCCGTGTGAAGAGACTGAGCCAAAAATAACTGAAGCTGATATTGATACATCTACTGAAGATGCACCATCAGAAAAACAATGCAGGTATGCTTAATCTGAAAACCTTATCTGGCACAAGTAAATTATCATGTCTAAGAGCCTAAATATATTTATTTCAGCAGACATCCTGTAAAGCAAGACTCTGTGGAGTCACAGCTGAAGAGGGTTGATGCTACCAGAGTTGATGCTGATGATATAGTTGAAAAAATACTCCAGAGTCAAGACTTCAGTTTAGACTCAAGTGCAGAAGGTATGGATATAAATAAGGAAGCTTATGGACAATTTATGTACGTTACAGGCCTTAGGAAAGCCCACTCCCTTCATAGTCCCTGTTGTTTGTATTCATAAGGACTATGCTACATTTTCTACTTTATCATAGCTACCAAAATTGAAAATACCCTTACATGACTCAGGGAGCTTTCCCAGATGATTACTTTAAGCCCAAAAGAGCAGGTGCAAATCTGTGACAAAAGTACTTCCTCCAACATACACCCTGTAGGAGTTGGTTCTTCATTACCTAAAGTATTTGCATCTGAAAGTGCCAGCTGCAAAACAAGTAGATATAAAATTACTTAGATTTAGCTAGGACAACATTAAAGAAAGCTAACATATTTTAATCATTTGCCTTTTAGAAGAAGGTTTAAGATTATTTGTGGGCCCTGGTGGAAGCACTTCTTTTGGAAGCCACCATCTACCTAACAGGTATGTAGTCTGAACAGCTAATCCAGAGGCAATACAAAATAAAAATGCATCTTCAGTAACTTTCTGTTCAGTAACACTGATCTTTGTTCCTTTTGATTGTAGTACAGTAAAATCTCTTTAGCGCATTAAAGTGTAGGTGACTCCACGGCATGGTAATAATGACAAATATTTTCTACCCTCCACATTTAGCTGGTTAGGTATTTGCTGTTTGGTTGGTTTTGTTTTTTAGGAGGGCTGTTGGTTGGGTTGTTTAAACAGTACACTTGCTGATGTGTGATACTTGCTATTAAACTTCCATTTAAATTAACACTGAACTAACTTTTTTCAAACTTTCAGAGCAGGATCTGGAGCATACGAGCAGGTGGTGATAAAACGGTAAACTGGAATGTCAAATGAGGAAAACTTGGAGCTCTGGTGTTGATACTTCCAGTATTTTTTGCTCTGCTGCAAGAGCTGAGACAGACAAAATGAACTCAATATGATATTTTTCTGAAAAGCAGTAGAATGCCTCTTGCTCATAGAGCATCATCTTCTGTGGTATGAAGAAAATGTTTAGCTATGTGTACCTTGTGAGAGCGCTTGGACTGGTTTTGTAAGCTCTTTCTGATGTTGGTGGAGTTAATTTCTGTGAAACATCTGTGGAAGCATGTCCCATTTCAATATTTTATGTAAGAGATCACTTGCAGTGATGGACTTTGTTTGTAATGTTATTTTTACAGAAACTTCTGGAAGTTAGTCTTAAAAGAACCTGAAAAGAATAATTACTGAATTTGATCCTACATGCTGTTTTAGTTTTACAGAAGCTAATTACTCCTATCAAGTCAGTTTTTATCAGGTCAAAGTTATGGCCTCCAAAAAAAAACAGGCCAGCTATGTTTCAACATAATCAAAATCTTTTCTTAAGAGTACTGAGCACAACTTGAACAGAAGAGGCGAATGTCATGTACATTTAAAACAAACCCCCAAAACTAGATCTAAACCAGCCACTGTAAATTAAGGCTACAGGTTTAAATGCATCAAATGACCTTTTTTTGTTCCAAGTGATGAAAAAGGTGGGATTCCACACCAAAACACTAAGGCACAATAGTGTTTTATTAAGAAAGCTGCCTTGATTGTTAAATCTGGGGTTCAGCAGCTGCTCCCACAGAAACTCACTTTGATAATGCATGAATATTGAGATTCAATGGGATGGTACTGTTTACAAACCTAGTCAGTAGTTTACTACCACTTAATTTTTTAAATTGTAGTTCAATCCTTCACAGTCAGTGCTTTGCTTGTGTTTTGAATGTGCCTTGCGAGATTGGGGGTGTACAGGGAGACCAAACCATTTACTAAGGAATTAAAGCTTTAAAACTAGGTAAACATCTATATATACTACTATTAATGTAACTTGTTAAGAGAAGCACTTTATTGTAGACATACTCTGCACACTGAAAAAGTCTTAGTGTGCAACAGCTTTGTTGAACACTTCTTATTTTGCTATCTGTCCACTGTTACTTTAGGTCAATGTACTGTATTTAAATTTGCACAAGTAGTGATTTGCCTGACAGGCAAGAAAGAGCTCTTTAAATTTTCATTAAGAATATGAAAGAATCAATTTTTAAAGGGATGTGTTGGGTGACAAATAGGTGTAATTAATTGTAAACTGCAAATTACTTTTTTTTTTAATTTAGTGGTACTATTTATCAGATAAGGCCTGGAATAAGTAGAAATAGTGTCACCATTTTTGAAAGCTCAGAATGCTTCAAATTTTGCTCAGAGTGATGTTTGACACCTTTTCATTGATGTAAAAGTAGGCCACATTTAATAGATTAAATTAGCAAAAGCAGACTTTGCTTGCCAGAAATCCATAGCAGAATTATTAAAACTTTTATTTGTATTTTTAACTAAATTGCAGCATTCAAAGCTAGAATGCTGTTATTAAATATGATGAATTTGAGCTGTTTCTCAGTTTTGGTACTTGCATACTTTTATTTCTACTGTTAATTTTAATCTCTTTAGAGTGTCTAACTAGGTAAAAGAAATAATACAAAGACTCTATTTTAGCTGCTCTTAATAGAAGTGTGGTATTAATCAGTGTTTGCTCTCCACAGGAATTTTAAACAGAAACTACTCAACTGCTGGTATACAACTCTCTCTCAGAACATGATGGTCTCCTTTCCTGTTACATAACTAATTAATACAAAAAAAATCTCATTGCAAGCAAAAGATGCCAGAAACTTGAATACATTCTTTGCTTTCAGTGCTAGTTGACACTGCTATATTTGGTGACAAATCCATTAAAACTAGTAGTAGTTAAATGGAAGCTTACTTACATTTACTAGGAAAACTACATGTAGTTTGAGGAAAACAGACTTTTAAAAAATATTGTACAGCTGCTTATGTAATTCTCAAGGGAATTTCCATAGCATTTTACGTTAAACAACACAGCTGATAGGCATAGATTAGATTGTTTACTAGAAACAGTATTTTCTTGCCTGAGCAGATCTTTTAAATAATAGGGAATTTGACAGAGAAATCCAGCTTTTCATAAAACTATATGTTAGTAATTTATTCTTCTGACTTGACTTAAAACCTTCATGAAGTGATAATCTAATTGTGCATCATGCAAGTGAAACAATCTTCACACCTAGGTGCTGTATTTTCTTTTTTGTAAACTATGTTGTATGGAATACTGGAGACTTCCATGTTATAAACTGTTTGGGATGTACTGGTGGATTATGTGGTTTTTTAACTGTATTTGAATAAAAATCTCTCAGACATTCAATAAACTCATGTCTTCAGCTTGGAATCCATTCCTAAAAAATTGTCGCTTTTTTTTTTTTAATGTAAAAAATTACAAACTTAACTGGAAGTTTGAGTCTATTACAGTTTCTCTTCAATTTAAGGAGTTCTTTGTATAATGCTTTGCTTTTTTCTGTTTCTGTGTTGTCACAAAGTGACATCCATATTATCAGGAAAATGTGTCATTTAGATCCCATTCTTTTTCTAATCTAGAAGGAAAATTTTAAATTCAGAACAATGATCAGAAGTGTCCTGTTCAACTATTCTGATCATAACCAAACAATAGATACCCACATTATTTCCCTTATATTCAGGATACTGCACTCTTTTGTTGGTGTTGGAGGGGTTTTTTTGGTGGTGTAGTGAGGTTTTGTTCTTGTTAAATGTTTTCCATCTACTCTATTTGGATTTTACAGTTTTGAACAAAAACTGCACATGAAAACACTGAAAATATTTCAGCTACTCCACAAATAGGTTAGCATTCACAATTACTGCAGTTCTTTACATTTTTTAATTTTTTTTTCAAAACCATAACAAATATGTCAGTTTCATAATTCAGCTGGAACAACATTTGGTTTTCATCAAGACTGAGTATGTACTCGTCTTGAAAAAGGCATATATAAATTTTATAGAAATTAAGAAAAAACTTGCCCTAAACTTATGTCTGACTCACATTATTCAGTACAACACAGTAGATGGCAAAACAAACTATCCTTGAAGCTAACAAGAGACTACCAGAAATAATCTAGTAATGACAGATACAATAAAGCAGTAGAAAGTCAACAGAAATATTTAATTTTCTTCTTGGGAAGGCATTATTTCCTTTTAGTCCCTGATACTCTACTTGAAACCCCTGTGAGTTACTGTTACCTTTGTCAGAAGCACTCACGCTCAATGAGAGGTGATGAGAGATACACACCACTGATGGAAGGTTAGAAATGATTTTGTGGTCTAGTTAGCATACAGAACATACCATTTGACAGCTTCTAAAAAAAAAAGCCCACTTTCATTACTTCTACTGAACTTTGTGTGAAAAATCTGATCTAATTCTCTTCATTTTCATGTTCAATATTGAATATCACAGCAGAACCATCACTGCTCAGTGTGACCTTGCCTGCAATAAGCTTGCATAATTTCTCAAAGGTACCACAAAGTCGATTCACTTTGGGAAAAGAAAATATTGTTTTGAGAGGTATGTGAACCTCATTGCCACTGACAAATGGTTCCATGTTTTTTTCAATAACCAGTTTTCCGAGATAGTCAGAAAAAGAGTCCATTGAAGCTTGGAATTTGGATTTTCTCTCAGGATCATCACTGTACTCACGTTTTGACATTAAACGGTGCTTAATGATTTGGGCTGTGAAAATAACTTCATTGATCACTGCATTCTGCAAGTACTTCTCATCTTTAAGACTTGGGTACACTGCTTTGAAGACCTTGACAATATACAAGAATACATAAAATGTTTATCGCTATCATAAGTTCAGATTTTAACATTTCCTTTCCAAAAAATCTGCTAAACGTGAACGTCATTTTTAATTCAATCCTGTTTTGCTAATTAAATAGTTTCAGGTAACCAAAACTAGGCAATATGAGCTGTTCTTCTTTATCACAACTACAATGGCAGTTAACTGAACTTAAACAAACACCCCAAAACCCAACAGGCTATACCTGCAAGCTACACTGTAGCTCAGACAAGGTAAAGTTCTGCAATTCTTTACCTTTTTTTAATAATTCTCTTACTTCTCACATTATGGAGTTCTGGGGACAGTTCTATAGTGATGGAGATTCTAAACTACTTCTGAATTGTTATCTGGAAACCAAGACTACAGCATGTCATTTATTGTTTTCAGAGTAAAACATTAAATATGTTCTCACAGCTGTAGGGAATGCTAAAAATAAGTTGTGACATCAAAATCTGTGAAACTGTAGTGTGTTCTACACTGAGCTATACTCCAAGGCAATTAAGGAAACTAAGCAAGCAATCTCATTCCTACCAAGTTACTAGGAAGTGCTTTTCACCAACATACTACCAAGGAAGTTCCTCTGTCTATAATTATTTCTTACTTTCCAATTACATCTTGAAATGTTGAATTATTCTTATAAATTAGTTACCTGATAAGAATTAATTTGATAAGAAACACACAAAATTAACACTCTTGTTTAATCTCAAAGGATATCCATGTCAAAACTCTCTCCAAAATGACCCTATAACAGGAGCTAATGAAAGAAATTTCTAGTACATGTCCATCACCTAGATGTATTTCCAAGTCTGGTGAGCATTAAAGAGCACTTCATTAATCTATTATGGGCAATAGATGACAGGCGACATTTCACATGCATAGAAAGCTCCAATACAGAAATTACAAATGTTTTTTAGCTTGGAAGCCATAAAAATAAAACCATAACACCACTTTACGTTTCAATTCAGCCCACAAGTCATTTGAAGATACTTATATACTTTTACACAAAGAACTGAAATATTAGAGTATGTTCACTGAAAGAAATAATTTAACAGCTTATAAAATTGAATAAAACCCCAACAGTGTACTTATTTTTGCACTGTTACTTCATGTCAGCTCTGAAAAAAGTTTGATTTATACCACATGGCATTTAGTAAGAAATAGTGTTTTAAAATTTTTATGTGTCTGAAAAATCTGGGTCATTGCCAACAGCCACATACTAAATAAATTTAATGACTAGAGGAAAAATATCTGGCAGAAAGGAAAAATTTCATTCCAAGGATAACAGTATCTTAAGATAAGAATTATCATCAATATTGTTATTTAGCAATTACCCTAGATGTTTAAGACCTTTGTACAAGTGAAAACACAAAGAATGAGACTGTCTTGCTCAGACTGTCAGCAGTATTTCCTGCTAACATAGACAACTTTACTCTTTATTCATACCTCAAAAGGAAGAAAATAATACTTACTGTTTTGTAAACTGCTTCCATGGGTTTCTCAGCCTGAAGAGATTCACCAGTTTGAGGATATTTTCTAACAAACACACCTATTTGGGTACAAAACCCAACCTTCTCCATTCCTGTTGGTGGGTGCCCGACACCAGTAAATTCCACTGAATAATCATAGCATCTAGCAGTCTCTAGAGCCCTAAGAAAGACCAATTATTCCAATTATATGAAATATTTATCTTTCCATGTGATAAAGATCCATTCTTAAGGAGACTCAAGACTATAAGGCTGCAAAGGCTTGAACATAATTTCTCTAATAATACTCCCAATACCTGAAGGTAAGTACTGTCACCTCTTGTTGTACCAGAGCTGTAAGATGCCTACCATAGTCTGAATCATTCAGTATCATTAGTAATTTAGCCATCCAAACATTACTGTTTCTTCTACAATATGTGCATAGAATGTTAATGCTCACAGTTGCTTAGTCACCAACCTGAAGTCAGCTAAAAACTGATTTTCAAGAACAAGATTATTTGAGAAGAACCCATAAAAAACATACACACCTCTAAACCACAGGAGACCAGTTAATAAAGAAAGTGTTGTTTGCTGTAAATATAGAAAGACAAAAATCTACCTAATCAAGGTTACAACAGTGTATATAATATCTAAATGAAAAGTATCTTGCAGTACATCAGCCAGGTGAACAAATGGGGCAGGGAACCAAAACCGCGTTACCTACCTGCATCATTCTCCATGGAAAAGAAGAAAACTAAATTAAATATCTCATGTATTTTAGAGAATAAAGTAATATTTCTGTTTCACAACACAAAGGCTTTCTCATGTTTACAGCTCAAAAAGCCCCCACATTTCTTCAGTGTTACCAATATTTTAAATTCACATCTATCTGAAAGCAAAATCTAAATGTACTTGAAGTCAGAAATTTTCTCTAAGGAATTCTAAGGTAGCTAATTACAGGCAGGTTTTAGTATCATTATGTAGGGAAAAATACATGCTTTCAGCTTTGCAAAACTATTTACTGAAAAATCACTGGATACTTTAAAGTGTATGGTAGAAACAACATAGTTTAAGGGGAAAAATGTCCAGGATAGATACAGCAAGAGGTGGCTACTGAGGTATGGCATTCTTTACTGTACCATGTATTTTCTTCCACAACTGCTTGACAGTTGAATGTTATCAGAGCATTCCATTTTGTCTTTCTTTTCTCGTATCTCCTGATATTAAGGGTAAGATAGATCTCATGTAACCCTGTCATGTGCATATGATTTGCATTAAATCCTTCATTGTGCCACGATCCATTAAACTATCCTTTGTTCAACGTGCCCCACTGCTGTCATTATCTGATAAATCTGCTAGCATTCTCTTACTGAGTGCTTTCATTACACACCACATAAAGCAAGCACGTCTTTGATTTTAGGAAGAAGCAGGGTATTATGCAAAGATATTAACTGATACCTTACATTTCAACTGTGTTAATTGTAATAAGGATATATATAGAGTAAATAAAAGTTTTAAATCTTTTTTGTAGAGCGGTAAAAGCCAATTTAACCATCATCATAAAATACAAAATTTACAGAATATGCTTACCTGCTCTCAACAGCAAAGAAACCACCAAATCAGGAGGTGACACTTCACTGACAGCAAACCACATAAATTAACCACTCTGAAAATGCACAGCCATTCATTTCTCACACTACTAGGCACTCAGAGCTGCATCATATGCACCCAGTATATGACGTTCAGTACTTTACCAGCTTTGAAACTGTGCTTGGCTCCACTCAAATTTGTGGTCTGGATGCCTGTATAACATCACTCTTGGAAGCAAAGAGTTAAATTCAGAATTTGGAGTGCTGATCACAACTATGCTTGGAGCCATGAAACCAAACACCACTTCAGGAAATTTCTTCAGCTCTGATTCTTCCAGGTGTTCTATTCTGAAAAGAATAAGTTGATGTTTGTGTTTAAAAACACACTACTATAATTTTAACAACTAGTCAAAAGAACCCCAAACCCATATGTGTAACTTGTAATTTTATACCTATCTCAGTGCAATATGAGCACTGGCACTGTGGCCAAGTGGCAGCACATGGGACTTTGAGCAAATCTCCTCCTCTTGCATTTTGTACTTTTTCATCAGTATCCTCTTCCTGCCATAAGCACTACCTGAATTACTTAGTATGGTTAATTTGAACAAAAGTTAGAAGCCACACTTCTACTTTTCTAATTCTACTCTTCTGCTTGAAAGGTTTGATGAAGCCTGTTTGGAGCATGGACAAAATTCCAAACTGAACTCTAATGGACTTAAAAAACCATTTTGTATTGTCCTCATACTCACAGTTCAATACATGTCACCAAGTCAAAACCAAGCATGCAAGGATCTTTGTGGGCAACTGAACCATGATGCAAGGTAACAGTTAGGGATCTTTCAGATGGTTGTAAATAATCAACAGGAAGAGGAGACAATGTATGCCTACAAAAGTATTAAAAATATGATGTTACAGGAAGGACCTTAAGACAGGATAAACAGTGCATGAAAAACTAGCTAATATCCTGCATAGATACCTCATAATTTTCAAGAAGATTAACTACTTCACATGGATATAAAAAAGCCCATGCAATACAAACATTTCTTCTAACTACCTACAATAGGACAGAAAGAGCAGAAGTTAATCCAGAAACTATCCTTCGTGTTTACAAAAGTTTCCATTATACCCTCAAGTCACTTGGGAAGCCACTTGTAAATTCTGATAATAGTTCAATTCCAGATACACAGTAAGTCTGGTTTAGACAAGCTTCATATGGTTTTGGGGGGAGTTCTCAGCAAGCGTATTACCTATTTCTTCCAAGTAAAATACACTGAGAAACCAAAGTACATGTGCAAATTTCATTCTGCAGTACAGCATTAGACAAAACACACAATAAATTTTACATATAAAAGGTTACTTCTCTTCATTCTTCAGAAAAAGCAAAAGATAACATCAGCATCAAGATCCTAAATATTCACTGAAACTGTGTTGAACTGCTTTCAATAAATCTACATTCATCCATTGGACCAACACTTCAAAGATCACAAAACTCTCATTTTAGAGAGGTTCTAAACCAGACACCACACACTGAACTAACCTTCCTACATCAAAATGATAAACAAATCCCCACCTTGGTGACTAAAGTTCCATGTACATTTCAAAAAGATCAAAACTGATCTTTCTGAAGACAATAATGTCACGTATAAGCATACATAGATATTCCTAACACCATTCATTATTGCCTTTACAAATGATATTTCTCAGATGTGCACCCCCCTGAAGGCCTCTACATGTCCCAGACCTTTGGCTACATTAGGTGATGTTATGGCCACCTACAGCCTAGTAGTCCCAAGGCACAGATCCAGTGGAACTAACAATGACAGAGTCCTTCATTTGCCAAGCTGCTACTTCTGCAGTTACTCTAACTTTGAAAGCCTCTACAGGAAATGCTGCACCATGCTAATTGTATTTGGTTTGCATGGCAAGGTGACCAGGAGGCCATAGAAGAGGCTTCTCCATGCTGCAGCAGGCTCCTGGCAGCAAACTCTGGAGAAAGGAGCCCACATTGGAGCAGCTTGGCTGGCAGGACTTGTGACCCAGTGAGGCACCCATGCTGGAGCTGGCTGCTCCTGCAGGACTGCACCCTGTGGAAAGGGACCCGGGCTGGAGCAGTTCATGAAGAACTGCAGCCCATGGGAAGGACCCATGCTGGAGAAGTTCATGAAAGTCTGTCTCCTCCATGGGAAGACCACACGCTGGAGCAGAGGAAGGACTTCTATCCCTGAGGAGGGAGCAGCAGCAGAAATAACATGTAATGAACCGACTATAATCCCCATTCCTCATCTCTCTACAACACTGCAGGAGAGAAGGTAGAGAAATGGCAATAAAGTTAAACCCATGAATGAGTGAAAGGTAGGGAGAAATTTGCTTTACTTCTTATTATCCTACCTGATCATAAATTCAATTAATGATTGATTATAATAATAAATTCCCCAAGTCAAGTCTGGTTTGCCCATGATGGTAACTGATGAGTGATCTCTCCCTGCCCTTCATATCATGAATATGTTGTTTTATTTTCTCTCTCTGTCCAGCCAAGGAGGGGGAATGATAGAGCAGCTTTTGGTGAGCTCCTGGCTCCAGCCAGGGCCAACTCACCACACTACTAGGTCAAGACAAACACAAACCTCAAAACAATAGATGAGCTTACATTTTCTCTTTCATTACATTTGCACAGATATCTAGCCCAGCTAACACTTCAATGCAACTGCAGAATTTCAACATCCAGAGAAGGCGGCAGTCAGCACATCCTAAATCTGCCACCTGTAAATTAGATATTAAAAAAATGTGTAAATGCTATACAGTTCTAAGAAATTTCAGAGAGTTGCATAAAATTAAAATTCCATACTTATCAAAATAACTTTGTAATTATAAAGTATTTCAAAATCATAACTAAAATTTACAGCTATAAGCAAGTAGGATAGATGCAGATTTGAAAATTCTTTTTAAAAATGTATATGAAGAGCCTGCAAGATTTTAAAAAATAATTAACCTTTTGTTACTTCAGCTATAAACATGTAGGACATCCCACTGCCTCAGGAGAATGTCTTCCACATGAGTAACAGTAAAGTATGATTTTAAGTACAAAAGCTGCAGCAATTTTCATATTCACCACTGCTTTTCACTGGGCTGTTCTCCCTCCAAAACACTTGAGAACAGGCTCACCAGCAGCCAAGTTAGCAGCAAAGAATCTGCATAACACAAGTTTACAGGCTCAGTCTAAAATTTAAGTGGGGAACTCTGGGATATTCAAACCATGAAGTCAAATAATAGATATTCTTTTCTGTAAGCTAAAGAGATAGTTGAGTATGTAAACCAACTCCCACTGTTCTTTCTCAGGCTCAGTCAAGGTTGAAGCACACTGCTGTTCCCCATGTGAGAATTCGGAGTTGTTTCTATCCAGTTTATCTACTGCCTGTGTAAACAGAAAGTTCACCCCCCAGTCCTTCCACATCCTAAATCAGAAAATTCAAACTTTAAAGACAGATGCAACATTGGTGAATATGTTCTATGTTTGAAAGGATATTACACTGCCATGGCATCATAGACTGGATTAGAATTTTATTAGCTACCAGAAGTATGATTACATAAGTAATGCAGGTGCACCAGTTTCTTGCATGCCCCCAAAGATATTAAAATCAGTTTACAGGTTAAACACTGCAGACTTAAGAAGATCTTTTTGGGAATGACATGGAGAGGACACATTAGAAGAGAGCAAATACTACAGAATGTTACTGAAACTAACTTTTCACAGTGATTAGCAAAACAAAAGTTCTGGTATACTGGGGGGACATGGGTGACAATACAGGTAGAGGGTCACAAGATGTTAAGAAAGTGGAGATGAGTTAGCCTCACATAATCCTCACACTCTCAGTTCACTTCTCATCTGAGACTGTCCATGCAAATGATGAGATAAACTTGATATACTACACAGAACTAACAGCTCTGGAAAGCAAAACCCAACTATGAGGAAAACAATTTGAACCAAATTCCACAGTGTTAGATTAAAAACAGAATGCCCACTACATTCAAAAACAGTCTTAAGGTATTTCTCTTGTTTAAATATTCTCCTCTTCCTGTCAAGTAACATTATTTTTATGCACCCCTGAAAAACAACATATCACAAGGTATCTGCTAAGGCCATTCAGTTTAACCAGTTCCTTCACTACGATTGTTCGGTAATTAGGTCAACAGGTTATTTATGCATTTTGTCTTCCTGAGATGCCAAGTGCCAACTTACTTTCAAGTTTATAACCTAAAGAGACAAAACATACCAACCTTCTTAGGTTTGTATTTCTCCACTAAATCTTTAACAAACTGGTAGCGTTGTTTGTACAAAGGAGGTTCAAATTTAATGATTTGCGTAATCTCTTCTTGAAAGTTCTTATCCATAGTATTCTGGGACCCCTAAAATAAAAAGTTAACTCTTATTTTCTGAAGCACTTCATAACATACCCAGTTACAAAGCTTGTTGTGTGTTTGAATCCCAGTTAAGCAGGTGCAGACCTGTTCTATTCAAAGAATGACAGAAACATCGGGATTAGCACAATTAGACTGTTCTCTCCACATGCAATTATGTAAATAACCTTATAAAAACGACTATAAACCATATACAAATCTAAAAAAGAAAATTTCATAATCTGTCACTCTCCATCCAGCACACCTGGACAGAGACCAAAACCAAACACTAGAACCAAACGCATCTAGGGCAAACTTGATTACTCTACGAGGTCTCTTACACACAAATAAAAACATGTATTTGTGTATATATATGCACAAAAGCCGACTCGGTGCTCAGGCCAGTGCCCCGCCGCCTCAGGAGTTAAGCGGCCTGCTGGACTCCCCTCAGCAGCGCCCGCGTGAGGGGCCACCCGCGGCAACGCCCGAGCCCCGGCGGAGCCCCGAGCCCGGCGGAGCCCCGGCGGAGCCCCGAGCCCGGCGGAGCCCCGGCGGAGCCCCGAGCCCGGCGGAGCCCCGGCGNGCCCGGCGGAGCCCCGGCGGAGCCCCGAGCCCGGCGGAGCCCCGGCGGAGCCCCGAGCCCGGCGGAGCCCCGGCGGAGCCCCGAGCCCGGCGGAGAGCCGAGCCCGGCGGAGCCCCGGCGGAGCCCCGAGCCCCGGCGGAGCCCCGAGCCCCGGCGGAGAGCCGAGCCCGGCGGAGCCCCGAGCCCCGGCGGAGCCCCGAGCCCCGGCGGAGCCCCGAGCCCGGCGGAGCCCCGAGCCCCGACAGCCATTGCCGCCCGGCCCGGCCACCCCCTGCCCCTTGCCGGGGCTTCCCCGCGGTTCCCGCTCCACCTTCTCTCCCACAGCGAGCTCCCGCCTGGCACAAGCGCTGGCCCCACGGGCGCGGAAGCCCCGGGGAGCGCCGGGAGCTCCAACTGACCGCCCCCAGTGCGGGGGCTGTTCCCTAAAGCGCTTCTGTGGGAGAGCATAAATCGGCACCAAGGCCCATCCCAGGGCCCACCTGTTGTACTGATCCGTGCCAGCCTCCCTCGCTGTAATTAAAAGGCGATTGGCGGCGGCGAGCAGTGTCCCTACTTTTTTACATTAAACCCCAAAAATCTCGCCACTCACGCACGTTCCTTGCGGTGCTGCTGTGTCTAAAGCCGTGTTTCCCCCGCCGCAGAGGGAAAACGCGCTGCTGAGCTGGTTGCCATATGCAGTGAACTAGGCCTGGCTGGGGGAGTGCGGTAGAGAGCACAAACACCCAAAATCGACGTCTTTTGCAGGGTTTCATTAAGTATTTTCCACGCAAATTGTCTCTCAGTGAGCAGGCAGCTGCATAGCTGCACACTGAAAGTAGAAAGGAAAGTGTGGCTCTAAATGCCTCATTTCTTCTGTAAGGGCATGCAAAGTGTTTGTTAATCACAGGGCAGGGCTGTTATTAATAAAGACAGTGTAGGCCTGGGACCTAGAAGGAGGTAGCACTCTGGTGGCAGTGAGGAAAAGGCTAGCTAAGTCAGATCACTCAGTGCCCTTCCAAGATTTCAGAATATTCTAGAAATGTATATGCTGACTCTGGGCTAACATTTTAAGTTTTGTGGCCTAGACTGAACACAGTTACTCTTTTTGGCTGTTGAGTAATTGTTTAACCCTGAACTATCACTTAGTACTTACATCTCAACTAGATAATTCTATAAATTCTGCCCAGTGTTTTTTTTACCTCAGAGAAAGGTTTATTAATAGAAGTCTTTTACATACCAGCTTCCAATTCTATGGATTCTAGTATCTTGTGAAAGTCTAATTATAAGTCAGTATAATGGATTCTTTAGAACAACAACAACAAAAAAATACAGAGAAGAGTAGTAAAGTTTACAGTAAAATTAAATTAATAACACATTGTAAATTCACACAATGTTCTAATAGTTTGTAAGAATTCACCCCGAGATGTAACACTGTAAGTAAAACTTTCAGAATTATCACCTGTTGTGTAATTCTCCATTACGAACAACATAATTACAGAGATATCCTTTCTGATTACTCCAATAATGACATTGGATTGGAGATCTAATCTTTGGAAGATTGGCAACATGAAAGAGATGGTGAGCACTATTTGCAGTTTTGAACTGGAAAATCTGCTTTGACTCCAGGAGGTCTGATCTATTGCTGAACAAAGTATTGAAAAATTCTTCTGATTTTTCTCCATTAAATCAAAGGTTTTTTTAATAATTATCTCACTGAAAAAAAAAATTCTTTGATTTAATCTAGTTGTGGTTAAAATTTTTGTTTTGGTTTGGTTTTCCTTTGTGCAGTCATACATATATCTACATAACAGTCTCAAGGCATCATAGAATAATTTATGTTGGAAGGGACCTTTAGAGGTTACGTAGCGCACCCCCTACTTAAAGGAGATCCAACTCAATGAGGTTACTTGGAAACTTCAGTTCCAAGGCAATTTTCACATCACAGTCTGTAATTTCAAACTGAATACTCAAGTTGTGTTAGCTCAATATGCCACAAATCAAGCAGGTTTTTTTTAGAGAAGCCTGTTACTTTTGCACCCTACATAAAGCAACAAATTATATGACTATACTGGAATAAAAGCATCTCACAATATAAAGTAATGAATCAAGAAATCCTAAACTGCTGATATTTCCTTCAGAAACTGGAATGAGAAAGACAACTGTATACAATTCCAGTACTTTCCCCATAAAGTTTCAGTGTATATAATTAAATCTGATAGCAAAAGAAACTTAATGCAGCACTGCTGCCAGAAGACACTAGTCCATATTGATATTTGACAGGAATATCCATACAGCAATACTGCTTAATCTCTAATTCAAGAGCTAATAACCAGTCCTCTCAGCCTAAATTCAGAGGATGTTTAGTGAAGTACTAGTCTTTTTCTCCCCAGCTTCAATTAACAGATTTGGCCCATTTTAAAAAATTAAGAATTAATCTGTGTGAATGAGAAGTGAAGCTGCTGTTACACACAAATTACATTCTTCTTGCTCTTTTATAATTACAGTTTCTTGCCACTTGAAGTGAGAACCACCTTGTTTTGAGGTTCTTTGGTTTGGTTTTTGGTTTGGTTTTGTTTTTCTTTTTGGCTGTAATCTATAAAAACCAGTTTAGATGCCTGAGGGAAGAAAATCTAATTTGGAGCAAATGGATTCATAGGTTGCAACTACATGAGAGGTTTGAGCATCACCACCAAAGTGTAAAAGAAGTATAAAAACATGATCTTATAGAGAGTAAAAAATACTGAGGTTTGGAACATATTTGGCTAAGTATTCCAACAGGAAAAGGTAAATGCACAGAAACACAATTAGGGCAATAGAAACTATAACAGAAGTATTGGCTGTCTTGAAGCAGTTGCACAATAAAAATTAAGCAAGTGCTCCAAACAACAATAACAAAACCACTCACGATCAAAGAAAAGTTACTACTCTAGCTTACTACCACCAGAACAAGATCACTTTCTTGGAATTAGTTTTTGTGATTTGTTCTCTGATTTGATATAAGATTGTTAAATGGGTATTTACTGCATCAATATGGTAGAGCAAGTAATGAAGATTTTGTGAACGTCTTTGGAAATCAGCCAAGATGAGAAGAAGACACCAAAAGAAGACTGGTGGTTATTTCTGGAAAAGAGAAGTGAAAAGCCTCGATAGCAGAACAGGCAGCTTAGAGAAACTGTTAGCTGCCAGGGCCCTGATAACACTTTTCTGCTATAGTAAAAGCTCTAAGGTACTTGAAGGGCCAGGGTAATGACAATAAACTGTTCCTCAGTGTTTCAATGTGTAATGAAGAATGAAGGTATTTTTATGGTACTTCCAAGAGTATTTATCTCCTCTTTTCTAAATTAGCTTTAGCAGAGATGGTATCCCCAGAGACAATTTTATACCAGCTTCTCCCTGCACCTGTTTCTTGATGCACTGAGCAATAGCGAGCCCTTCTGTGTTCAACTGAACATACTCTGGCACATTATACCGAGCTTGCAGTCATTTCACTGAACTTTCAGTTAATTTTTGCACAGTCATTTGATGTTTAGAATATTTTGGCAATTCTTCTAAATTACTCTGTCTCTTTTTTGTGCTTCAGGTTTAAAGACTGACACCAAAGTATGTAGCTGGTTCTATTGGGTTTGGTATTTTTCTGCTTTTGCAGGCAAAACCAGAGAATTTTCTCTCTCCTTTTAGTAATTGTATGTAGACAGTGTTTCTCTCTTAGCTGTTTAACCTAATTCTGCTTGTTCCAAGTCTGTATGTAGGACTACAAGTTTCAGAAAGAGCTGTTGAGCTGGAATTGAGCAGCAGGGAACAGTTACTGTTTTCTGGGTGGCTGACGGGGTTCTCAGAAGCTGCTCAGCCAGGTCCTGCATACAGCAGTGGGCCTCGTACCCAGCACTGGCATCAAGTGAACAGGCTGGGCCGTGCCCTAGCATCGCCCTCCGGGACCACAGCACACTGAACGTGCCCAGCGTTTCTTCCTTTCCCCTTCCCCAGTAGGGAAGCTGTGGATGCCCCATCCCTTCAAGCCCAGGCTGGATGGGGCTTGAAGCAGCCTGGTCTAAGGGAAGGCGTCCCTGCCCATGGCAGGCGGCTGGAACCAGATGGATGGTCTTCCCTTCCCACCCAAGTTATTCGGCGACTTCTTTGCTTCTCCACTGCTGCGGAGGCAGAAGCGGCCATCGCCAGCTATGCCGTGGCCTCATTACCAACAACAAGGGACCGAGGGGACCAGTTTTCAACTTTGTTAAACCCGGGGTTTAATTTACTGAACTCCGTGTGACGATGCCAGCAGCTGCTCCCCTTCGGGTCACAGAATCCCTCACTCTCCCCGGCGGTGACGTCCCGCCCGCCGGGTCCCCGCGCTGCCGCGAGGCGAGGGCGGGAAGCGCGGCGGGAAGCGGCCGGGCTGGCAGCGGGCGGGGCCGCGCGGAGGCTCCGCGGCTCCCCCGCCCTATCGCCGCCGCTCCCGCGGGTCGGTGACGCGGCCCCGGAAGGCGCCGCCGTCACTTCCCCGGCCGCCATCTTGTCGGGGCTGAGGCAGCGCCCGCCGGCCCCGCTCCGTGTGCGCGGCCTGCCCCGAGCGCCGACCCGCCATGGCCAACAACAGCCCCGCGGTGGCGAACTGCCAGGGGCAGCAGGTGGCCCAGCACCCGCCCGGTGCCGTCCCGCCCGTGCAGCAGCCGCTGCAGAGCGGGGGCCCCAAGCCGGCGGCCTCGGGCAAGCAGGGCAACGTGCTACCGCTGTGGGGCAACGAAAAGACCATGAACCTGAACCCTATGATCCTCACCAACATCCTCTCGTCGCCCTACTTCAAGGTGCAGCTCTACGAGCTCAAGACCTACCACGAAGTGGTGGACGAGATCTATTTCAAGGTGAGCCCGCGGGCCGCGCTGGCGCCGGGCCCGGTTTGGCTGCGGCCCGCGCCTTTTCGCCCCTTATCTTGCGGTGAGGGATGGGAGGAAGTACCGGTTGTGCTGCTGAGCTGGGGGAATACGAGGCTCTGCCTTCTCTGCCTCACCAAAGAGGCGTGTTCCGCGTCGGATTTGGAACTGCCGAGCTGTAAATGGGTTTTGAAGAGGGCGGCGTGGGCCGGGGCGGTGGGGTGAAATGGCCGTCTGAGGGCTGCGCCTCCAGCCGGTCCGTGCCGCCGGGACCGGCCCTGCCCGCGGCGCGGAGCCGCCACCGCGCAGGAGCCACGGCGGTGACCCTCGGTGTCGGCGTGCGGCTTTCACTCTGTTCCATGTTAGAATTCCCTCCTCCGTAACTCAGCGTACAACTTAACGAGTTCGTTTTACTGCTTCTCTTGGCGTTAGGTAAGATGTGCTGGGGAGATGAATGGTCTGTATCAGGGCACCTATGTCTCGGTTCTTGTTTTGTTAGCAGGATTGAATCAGTTTTGCACCGAGGCTTCCATCGAGCCACTCTCCCAGGTAGAGGTATGCATAATTAATGCTAATCAACGCAGCCACTTTCTTTGTTCTTATAACGAAACCAAAATTTAGATAATTCCGTTAATCACCTGTGTTTTGGTCGTTATTGGCGTATTTTTTCAGGTGAATTCATTTTGCTTGATAATGTTATTGTGTCAGCTGGTGGGTTTCAGTATATTTGAAATAAATAAAATAAAAAGCAAAGGTAGCCTTTTTGTTTCATTTATCCAAGCCAAATCAGGTTACTTAAGGCACTATAATTGTGAAAAATAATTCCATCACAGTATTTTGAGATTTTTGGCAGTTTATGCTTTCTTATGCTACTGTTTTTTCATGTAAAGGTAGCATTTCTCTGCCTGTGCTCTGTCTTTTGGAGCTGATTATTTATTTCTCCTAGTACTTAGTGTAACATATATTGTCAGCAACATCTCTCCAGTTATTTTACTACATGCTGCATGTGTGAGACTCATGACTATCTGAATGAAAAGTAGCAGAGTTTACTTACACAACTGATTTTTAGAACTGAAAAAGTTATGAAAAAAACATATTTTTAGACAAAATGAGAGTTTACTGTATTTTTAAAGTGAACCCCTTCAGGTGCACTAAAAAGTAATTGTCATCTTTGTGCTGGTAGAGCTCAGCAGCAGTAGATCAGATAGTTCATTTGCTTGACCTACTCTTTCATTCTAAAAGTGGTTTTATCTTAAATTTGGGAAGAATTTTGACAAGCCATTAAAAACCTGCATATTGATCTGATTTGTTTACTGAACTTGACAGTTAGTGACTCAAAACTGCATGCTAAATAAAGAGAAAACTCAGCCCCTTACTGACTTGTGAGTAATGGCTGTGAGGGAGAAGATAACCTGATGGTTAAGCTGCTTCATTGATATTAAGAAGATCTGAATTCTCTTAATGTTTTAAGATTCCTGAATAATTGCTGTGGGTTTTCCTTTTGTTAGTTGTTTTTTTAAATTAATTATTGTGTTTGTTTTTTTTTTTAATGACCTGTCATAGCAGCTGTATCTTCAAGTGTATTTGTCTGTCTAAGAAACAAGTGGCTCTTCTAGAAAATATTAGAATGCTGGGTGCTGGATTATGAGGAAAGGTGATTGTAAGTCAAACAGGCAGCTAGTGATAAGAACCATCTTTGGAGATATGGATTGTGTCCAGATATTTGAATTAATTCATTTGTAATTCTGGGTTCGTGTTTCAGTTCTGTATCTATGAAGTGCAGGTCTTCCTCTTTCTTTATCCTTGACCTTAACACCATGTGCATGTCCTCAACTTCATTTCATCTGTGTATTTCCAACAAGTTAAGCATACAAATCAGTCTTTGTGGGATAAAAACCTTAATTACTCCTTTTTGAAATTAATATTGTTTGCAGGGTTTTGTTCTTTGTTTTAATTGATACCTGTCAAAACCAGCATGTTTACATTGACTGTAATTAAAGTTGAAGACTAGCATTTGTGATAATGTTATACTCAGTCCTTTGACTAAAAAATACTTTTTATTTCCTGTGAGAGGCAACACGACATAACCAGGAGGATATACAGTATTATTTATGTAGTATTTATGAACTTCTCATGCTAACAGTACAGGAAGTCATAGTGGATTTTGAATTCTACGGTATTGGCATCTCTCGTATTTCCTGTTTGGCAAAGACAGCGACTGTAAAAAACCCAAACAAACAGTTCAGCAGCTTCTGCTGTTAGTGTGTGTCTGATTTCATGTGATTGGTTTTATTCAATGTATTGTTAAAGAATCTTAATTTGTGGAGTACCATACAGCATGAACTCTTAGTCCCAATGCAATGTAGCACAATTGTATCCTTTTTTGTCTTATATATGTATTTTAAATGGATGTGTTTAGGAAATATACTTGTTTATTGAGCCAAATATTGCTTCTCTGAATTTCAGAATTTCAAATGTAGCATGGGCAATTAATGTGGTTCTGAGCTTGTTTATGACTCTTATTGCCAAGTTTTATGAATGGTGTTGATAACTTTGTTTGTGCACTCATCCCTAAATGTATCTCACAAGATTTGTCTTGGGCAAATTTTACATCCCTGCAGTCTAAGAGAAAAAAAAATGACTTTATGTTAAAATACTACCTTTGATAAACATATTTATTTTGTCTTAATAGTAAGGGATAAAGAAAACAAATCTTTAGTTAAGTTTACTTCAAGAATGAGACTTAGGAATATGAGAGTTTATATTTTGACATATGTAGCTGTCATCAGCAGTTATCACTAAACTTGTAAGGAGATGGTTTAAATAAAGGCAGTTGTTCAGTCTCCCAAGAAAATCGTAATGATGCGGTTTAGTCATAAAGTATTTGAAAGTACATGGGGTATAGAATAAGCATGGATGTTTCCTTTGGGGTTATGGGATTTATTTGTTTTAAATTTCATTCAAGATTTTGTCTGTAATTTCTTAATGTGGTATTTAAAGTAGCCAAGTGCTTTGCTTTAATGACAAAGCAGACTTCATCTTGAATTTGCTAGAAGACAGTTTTTTAAGATTGGTTTAGGATATCCATTGTTAAATCAGGCTTGTGTGATCACCTAAACATTATGGAAGTTTAATTGGAATTTTCTTTCTTTCCTTCTGTCTCCCACCTCACCCTTTCAGGTTACACATGTTGAACCATGGGAAAAGGGCAGCAGAAAAACAGCAGGCCAGACAGGGATGTGTGGAGGGGTAAGTAGAAGTACGTGCCTTCTTAAATTTTTCTGTCTGGTAAATAACTTTTCAAAGCATAGATAAAATGTGCTTGTATGTTTGCTCAGTCTCTAGATATAAAATATTTATTATAAAGAATAGACACATACTTCTTGCTTCCAAAGCTGTGGATGTAAGTAGATTTTTCCACATAGCTTTATTTGTAGATTCAAATTTTATCGTGTGTTAGTTCTCATATTCTTTTGTAGGTTTGGAATAATGTCTTTGTGACTTCCTGCATCCTCACTTAACTTTCTGCTTTTGAAAGGTGCGTGGTGTTGGAACTGGAGGAATTGTGTCTACTGCTTTTTGTCTGCTCTACAAATTATTTACACTGAAGCTCACTCGTAAACAAGTGATGGGCCTTATCACTCATACAGACTCCCCATACATTAGGGCTCTTGGATTTATGTATATTAGGTAAGTATCAATATCATCAACTAATGACTGATCTAATATGCAGAAAGCTGTATTAAACTTTTATATTGTTTTTGTGCTTAAAGGTACACACAGCCACCTACAGATCTATGGGACTGGTTTGAATCCTTTCTTGATGATGAAGAGGTATGTCGGCGAGGGTAATAATTTATTTTCTTTTGTTTCTTTTCATGTTACTACTTTAGGCTTAAATATTGCTTGATAGGGTTTTCTGTAGTTTGAATGTTACAATGTTATGTTCTTGTTTACATTGTGTACATTAATTAGTGCAGGAAACAGGTTTGAGCTGGGACCTGGGTGTTTTCTCTTAGATGTTGAAGGTCTACCAGGTTTTTTTCATTGGTTAATATGTTACTGTGTCAGATTTGCAAAGCCACGCGGAACAGGCATACTGAATCAGAATGCAGACAGCAGGCTGTGTGAATGTGTCTTCTGTGTGTTTTTTAAAATCACAGTTACTTTTAGGTAAGGTGTAGTAAGTCATGCAAGTGCTAGATTTGTAGTGGTTATTATTCATGTTCTGCAACAACCAAACCCGAGATTTCTTCAGAGAAGAAAAAAGACTTATTACTGCATCAGGTGGCATTATTTCTGGAATCTTAATGTCCTTGTTAATGCGGCAGATGAAGAGATGAGTTGCTAACTGAAGAAATTCAGTGAAGAGGTTGCATTATTATGCAGTCAGATAGGAGAATGCCTTTGGTATCCTAGTCCTGATACAGAGTTGGAGAAACAGTAGGGAGCTGGTGGGTGAGGTTTCTTGGGCTATGAAGTTGAATACAGAGTCTGCAATACTGCTGCAAATAGGATTTATTGAGCAGGTTTGAAAAGGTATCTTAAATTTCAGACTACAACAGGAAGGATCACTTACCATCTTCAGCGTGACAGTAGGCATCTACTTGAAGAAATTTCAAATGTTGTAGTTGCAAATGATGTCCAAATATTGGTATTAAAAATAGTGTTAATTATACCTGTGTCTAACTGCAATGCAGTGTATTTGTTTTAAATGGCTTCTTTCATGCTAAGTATCAAAAACATTGAGCAAAGGAAAAAACTGATGATTTCAGGTAAACCCCTGCTATATTAGATTTTTAACAAAAATGAAACCAAATTGGACTTGAAGCAGTGCAATATGAATTCTCCTCCATAACGTTGGACTGTAATTTATGAGAAGTGTTGGGTGGCTTCATTCTCAGGGTCCTACAAAGTCAATTCCAAGGACAGTAAAGCAGTTGCAAGTATGATGTATTGTGCAGGTCTTAACTGGTTCATTATTCAAAGCAGAGTTTTTAGTTTATACATTTCAGTTCTTGCTGATACTGGGTGTCAAGATGTGTTTGTTTATTGTTGCTTAAAATCTCCCCCTATATTTTTGGAATTAGTATTTCTTTCCCAGCTGCTATCAATACCTTTGTGTTATATAGGACAACTGCTTGGGGATGCTTAAATTTCTTACCAGTCCTGGTCAAATTCAGTAGGATGAAGCAAATTTTTATATATGGAATTATTTAAACCCACAGGATTTTTTTCCCCCATCCAGTTCTTAAATATGTGGAAGCAGTTCATCTTTTGTCATCCTGCTGTGAAAACCTTTCCAGGACGCAGAGTTACTTTTCAAAATGCTTCTTATGTTTATTTTGTTTAACTGTACGTACTCTCCAGGTGCTACGTTTAACTCCTCTTTTTCTTCTTTAGATCTCTGCAGCGATTATATTTGGAAAAACTGTATATCTGAACACTTAAATGTGTGTGAGTGCAAGCAGTTTTACGTTCAGATTTTCTCTTCCTGTTTAGATAACAAATCTCACTTTCCTTGTGTGCTTGCACTATAGGTTTGGGACTGACAATAGCTGACTAACATGTCCTGAGCTGTGAGAGGGCATAGCAAGAAGGCCTTCATGCGGTAATGACCCTTTTCAGAGACAATGGTCATCATGGATTATGCGTTTCCAATTATTTGTTCATTTATTTATTTTTTTTACATATTTCTAAATTAGAAACCTCACTGCTTCATGGCAGTTGGTTTGCTATTGCTTCCAATTCTGTTAGGATGCCATTTTGTACTAGAGGTTTTTCTATGATCATTTTTAGATAGGCAATGATGTAGTTCATAAATGATTTAGGCCACAGGGTTGGGTATGATGGTACACAGTTGTATATCCACAAAATGGAGTATTAAATGTAGTTTCAGAGGACTTCTCAACTTTGTAGCATTTAAATACAATGCAAGATCATACCATATAACCAGACTGTGTAAGGGGATTTTCGGTTAATCTCTTCATCGACAGTCCCTTACCATCCAGATGGCTGCAGGATTAGTGTGTGCCTGCATGCATATATATTAAGTCCCATTCCCTATCTGTAACGTTCTGCCAAATCCAAAGGGTGCAGAGCTGAATTTCTCTAAGGAAATATATTAGAATATAAGACAAGTAAACTTTCATAATCATGAGACTTCAATAGGACAGAAATGTAGCAGCATTTTTTTTTTAAATCAGTAAAGAATATTTTTGACCATCAGGATATTTTTTGCTTGTATTTTGCAGGACCTGGATGTGAAGGCAGGTGGGGGTTGCATTATGACCATAGGGGAGATGCTTCGTTCCTTCCTCACTAAGCTTGAATGGTTTTCCACGTTGTTTCCAAGAATTCCTGTGCCAGTCCAGAAAGCCATTGACCAGCAAATTAAAAGCAGACCTAGAAAAATCAAGAAAGATGGCAAGGAGGGGATGGAAGAAATCGACCGGCATGCAGAACGTAGACGTTCAAGGTCACATAATCATTATTTTAAAAATTAATGTTAAAAGTTCAATATTGAACTACTTATTACAGGCAACGTATTGTCTTTTCACTGAAATAGATTTTAAGGCAACAGTTTATGGATGCTAGTGGATTAAAATAATCAGATAATTTCTTGTATTTAAGATTAAATACAAGCTCTGTCTGTGAAGTATAAATTGGAAAGAGGATTTCTTAACTATTGAAGGAGGTGTTTCATATGGAATGTCTTCTATTTTAAAAGGTCTCCAAGACCAAGATCCATCAGTCCCAGGAGGTCTCCCAGAAGATCCAGAAGCAGAAGTCACCATCGGGAAGGCCATGGATCATCTAGTTTTGATAGAGAACTAGAAAGAGAACGAGAACGGCAGAGATTAGAACGTGAAGCAAAGGAGAGAGAAAAAGAAAGGCGGAGATCTCGAAGTACTGATCGCTCACTAGAACGGAGGCGAAGCAGAAGCAGGGACAGATACAGAAGCCGGAGTCGAAGTCGTGACAGGAAAGGAGATAGAAGAGACAGGGATAGGGAACGAGAGAAAGAAAATGAGCGGAGTCGGAAAAAGGAGAGAGATTATGATAAGGAAAGAGGTAGTGAGAGGGAAAAAGATCGATCTAGAGAAAGGTCAAAAGAAAGGAAAAGTAAGGGTGACACAGAGGAGAGGAGACACAAGGATGACAAAGATGAGAAGAAACACCGCGACGACAAGAGGGATTCCAAAAAAGAGAGAAAGCATAGTAGAAGTCGGAGCCGGGAAAGAAAGCATAGGAGTAGGAGCCGAAGCAGGAACACAGGTAAGCGCAGCAGAAGCAGGAGCAAAGAAAAATCAAGTAAACATAAAAATGAAAATAAGGAGAAGTCAAATAAACAAAGTAGAAGCAGAAGTAGAGGAAGAACAGATAGTGTTGAGAAGTCCAGAAAACGAGATCAGAGTCCCAACAAAGAAAAATCTAGGAAGCGTAGCAGAAGCAAAGAACGTTCCCACAAACATGATCACAGTGATAGCAAGGACCATTCTGACAAACATGATCGTCGAAGGAGCCAAAGTACAGAACGAGAGAGCCAAGAAAAGCAACAGAAAAACAAAGATGAGACTGTGTGAATTCTTTCAGAAGTGGATCACATTGAATCCTATAAATGTTTGATTAAATCCTGCTTATTTTTTCTTAAAGTTGAGATTGTGCAGTAGTTGATGAGCACTCTTCTCCAACCTCCCTCTAGGCTGCAGATTGTCATTTCCTATTTTCGGTAGGGAAGTGCCTTTGTAAACCCATTCAATGCATTGACGGTTTCAAACCATTTGTTTAGTTTAATTTGTAATGCCGAGATTGTTCTTGCATTTTTATTGTTCAGATGTTTCTGAAATGTACAGTCTGTACATATGTCCTGAAAATGTTTTAATTCCTTTGGCATGGTTGCCATGTTGGATAAATTTGTATGAGGCAATAAACTGCCACTAATTATACTTTCCTTTTGTAGACGTGGAATTATGGTTTGTATCCTGAAGTTAGCATGGCTATGCTTTCCATAATAGTAAGGCTTTTAGGGATGGATCTGGAATGTCTGTTATAGCTGAGATATTTATGTGCATACAATGTACATTGAGGGCTGCAGATTTAGAACTAACATTTATGTCCACTGTACCTGCTGTTTTGTCCAAAGCTTTTAAAATGTATTGTGTTGATCACCAGTGGTGTTAAATTGAGTGGACTTTCAGAGATAGTGGCATTGATGCAAGGATTTAGATTATGTTGGGGCTTGTCTAGTAATTCTGTAGAAAGGCTACCTCAAGCGGACACTGTAAAGGTTGATGGATGAGTACCGTAGCCATCTATGCATTTTATTTGTTTGAAGAAAATCCTTGTAAGCTTCCTTTTTTATAAAAAACACAGTTTATCCATCTGTGGTCCTTTAATGTTTTTAAGCAGCTGCACTCTGTCATTTATGATAATCCTGGGCTAATAAAGGCATTTAAGATGGGAAGAGGGAGGTAGGAAGAAGAAAAATATCACAAAGGATTTCAGTTTCATGCTTCCAAAGCATTTTATAAGTGTAAACATTTAAAATAAGAATTAACTGATAGTGTCCTTTTTTAATTCATATTTTCTACAAATAGTAAAGATCACAGTTTGTGCTGAACATTTCATCTGGCAGATTTTTTTTTTAACAGGTTGTTAGAAGGAAAAACCAAAATGCATTATAGAAAAAGATCATATCATTAAAGTCCAAGTCTATTTCATAGATTATTCTGATGACTTGTATACTAAGTGAGGAGAACCATCTGGAATAAACTCTCAATTCCTTTGTATTGAGCGTCAGCTTTTCCCTGCACATTCATTGCCAGTTAAAGAATGCTTCAGTTCCTCCACATTTTATTTTCAGATCAAGTGACACTGTATGAATAAGGGATTTTATGTAATAAGCAACTTACAACAAAGATGTAGCAAACAAATGCCACAGCCCCAAGATAGGAAGAATGTGAAGTGGGAATCAATCATGAAGTAACCTGAAGGTAGAAATACAGTATTTGTGCCTTTTTTTTGTTTCTGTGTGATGCAAGGCATTTAGGCATATTTTGCTTTAAACGTCCAAGGAAAACAGTGTTTTGACTTCTAACAGTATAATTCATTCCATAGTATTCCAAGAAGAAAAGTTTTTTTCTTCCTCCCTGTTCTTCCTGTTTTCTAAACTGTAATGGTCTTTATCACCATGATCCTTAGTAATCAACATTTTTTAGTACTAACGTTGTTAAGATCGTCTGCTTATATTTGTATTACCTGATTTTAAGTCTGAACTTGAAACAAAATGTAAGCTTCAACAAATTAATTCCCTTGCAGCGTAAAGCTAAAATACTGAGCTTTCATTTAAGATTGGAGAAGAAAAAAGATACTCTGTCTAGTAGATAACTGGAACAGTCTCTGCAATCTGCCAAGGGATTGCATGGATTCTGTCCAGAAAGGGCAACTTTAATTTATCTTGTTTGTGTCTAGAGGGCTTCTTTTGGCCTTGTTTTCAACCTTCAGTTTCTGAAACAAGTATGTTCTTCGGCAGAGAGGCTGCAGAACCAGTGGTTTGTCAGGGAAAATGGATTATTGATTTCCAGTTGTTCCTTCAGGGCTCTTCCTCTTCTGAGACTTTTGGGTAATACATTGAAAGAATGGTTTATTTGCAGGAAAAAATGCAGGTGTTTGAGAGACAATGTTTGACCTGAACGTGGACAAGCACGGTCTCACTACAACAAAGATGGTGAATACTTGATAATAGCTTGTGCAAAGACAGGCTCATCCAGGATCTCTACAAGTGCAGTAATTTCAGGACTGCTTTTATTTTCCTATTTTATAAGTAGTCTTTTCTGACCTGTGAATTTAATATTATCAATATTACATACTTGAGTTGGCAGTGTAATGGGCAACACAATATTCACTGCCAACCAAGACCTGTGAAAATTACTTGAATCAAGACACCTTGGGATTTACTGTCATGCAGCTCTTCAGTTTGTATCCAGGGTCTCTTTAATTCCTTTTTGTCTTTCTGATGCCATTTTATTATTTCATGTGCCCTTCCTTAAAAAGCAGAAGGAACTGCAGAGCTGTAAAAGCAACTGTGATGAGTAGGGGTGAGCTAGTGGAAGTACCAGTGCTGCCCACTCTGGTGCAGTTGTTGCAGTGCAGTACAGCAGCATTGGACATTCATCCCAGGGGCTTTAGAAGAAAATTTCTGCCAGTTTTAGCTGGAGGAGCTCTGGTTGCAGAGCTGTTGTCTCACAGTGTGCACTCTTCAGTTCTCAGGGTAAATGACCATGACCAAAGCACTATGAACCACAAGTTTCCATAGTCTGCCATGTGCCCATAATAGCCTAAGATAGATATCCTTGTGAAGCCTCATCTGTCTTGGAAATTACCTGTGGCTCCAATGCTAAGTACTGGAATAGTAATATTAGTAGCTTCCTACAGCATACAAGTTCCCCTCTTTAGAGGAACCTGAAGGAATTTGATGAATTCTGCTGGCTTTAGATCTTTGAGCCCTTTGACCCACTGTGAAGCACATGCAGCTTCACATGTATGGATGACCACCAGCTATTAAGCAGGGTAAAACAGCATTTAAGTGCCAATTTTGATGTTTTGCAATGAGGTTGTCATTGTATCTCTTACTTTTCACCAGCAATAATTAAAAGCAGTAGAACACTAAATCTCAGTAAATTTGGGTAGAGTCTGATATCAGCTGAAGGGTAGATTTTTGCAAGTTCCTTTAGTAGATTGAAATCTAAGGTTTGAGCTGTTACTCTGTGTCAAATGAAATTTAAAACAATGTGTATTTTAAATAATATATAGAAATTTTTTGAGAGTGTTTGTGTAATTCTAACTAATACATCTTTACTATTATGCATTGAATTTAATTTTTTAAAATTAAGCATTAATGAAGTAATTACTGTGAAATAACCTAGCTGGTTTTAATTACCTAATTTGTTAGTCCACATGATTTCACAGCTACTGCTCTGAAAGCATCCATTTTAGCATATCCATATGCTGCCTGCCTCCAAGTATTCAACAGGAATTTTCTTGGTTCTCAAGTCTTCTTTTCAAGAGACAGTGGAGTGGGGTTGCATTGTTTTGGGCTTTTTGGTGGGATCTTTGTTGTTTGTTCAGTTGATAATTTTATTGCTTGGGGTTTTTGTTGTTGTTTTTTGGGTTTTTTTTTGGTTTTTTTGGGTTTTTTTTGTCATGAAGTCCAGAGCTTTATACAAGTAAATAGTACAGAAACAGCATCTACAAATACAACTAATTGGCCCTTTCCTGTGATCTGGAGCTAGCGTGACCCATAAAAGTGTGTTTACCTCAGTCTGGAGAGACCCTGCAACCAATCCTGACCAAATTTTTAAATCAGCTTAGTGAATTCCAGTGCTGTTTAATGTATCAGCAATGTTAACTGTTAGGCAGTTATTAGACAGTGTGTAATGCCTGAATAACAACACCTTAAGGTTACACACTGCCAGAGTAGGAGGTGTGTATCTGGCTCAGTCAGTGTTGCTTTTCTTGTCTTTTGCTAATGGTATATATCTGCTGCCCAGTTTTTTAGAGCTGAAGCAAAGTGATTTTTTTCTTGAAATCATGAAACAGATTTAAAATTTACAAAGACATCAAATGTAGTTTTAAGCCTGAATCAAACATGAAACAATTTTTGTTTACAAAGCTGCTAGAACTTATAGACTATTTTATTAAAAATCGTAAGTGGATTTTCTCTTCAGACCCCTTCAAAATTAGGCAGGCAAAACCAAAAAAACGTTTTGAGTATTTACCTGTGTTTGCTGAAAATATCTGAAAAGGAAGATGTAACAAAATTAGAAATACAGTGTAACATATTTTATTTTAAAAATTTTAAATCTAAGAATGTTAGTAACAACAAGCTATAATATTATGTTTATGAACACATTTTACTGGTATGATGTATTTGCTCAGATTCTTAAGCATGGAAAGAGTACACAAGCAATGGGATTTGGTACAGGTACGCAGATTGTACTGCTTCTGCATTTTCCCCTCTGAACCTGCCTATTAATCCCGTTTGCAGTTGTTGACACACTTCAAAATTATTTTTCAGTCATATGTAAACAGTGCAACACTGCGGTAGTAATGGAATACCAATACGGAAGCGGATATCTGATAGTGCTCCACCCTAACTTTTAGTTTACTTTTCTGAAGAATACAGTATCATCGCGAAAATAGCTTTACATCAAGTAAGTGGCACTTATAATTTCTAGGCAGCTGAGAAGCACTCCAGTAAACGCTAATGATTTACCTTTCGTGCTGCACATCTTGTCAGAACGTCGTTGCAGCTTCGCACGGGGGCGAGCTGAGGCCGATGCCAGCGCCGTTGCCAGCGGTGCTGCCGCTGTAGGCGCACGGCCCGGGGCAGAGGAGGTCGCGCCGGGCTGGCCGCTCCTCCCTGCTGGGTCACAGCTGGGCAGCGGCCACCAAGCCCTGGTGACTCGGGGCCACCACAGCGCTCGGCTTCTGGCCGCAGGCTCGTGGGGGTCTCTTCCATTCTCCCACAGGGTGCGGAGTCTGTATGGTTTATACAACTCACAAAACAATTAAGCTAAGTGAAATTTTGTCTTCGGCTCATTGTCTATTGCATTTTTGCCCACTCACAAGGATCTTCTTTTCTGTCGGGAATGATGCTCTCATCCTTAAGGGCATGGGGTATGATGCCTTCCTCTTTGAACAATACACTGCCATACAGACTGGGAACTAAATATTCTTCCTCATACCTGGCGCTGTAGAAAGAGAATTTTTCCTAGCATTCCTGCGTTATTTGTTCCGGCTGTTGGTTCCCCTTTGAGAACAGGACTTTGTCTTCGAACTATAACTTCTGACAGGTGATTATAGGCATCAACAGCCGCTACGACCCGACACTGTTTTCCTTGGTGGTTTACACGCATGTCAGCGGGAACCTGGGGGCGGTTTTCGTGAGGGAGCCCCGGTTTTCCCCCAGAAGGAGCCGGGACCGGGGCAGGTTTCGGGAGCCACCCCGGCCGGGCGGTCTCCAGCTCCCCACATATCGCCAAGGGCGGCCTCGGGGGCGGGAGCGGCTCCCACCGTCCCGGCCTCACCTGAGCAGGGGGCGAGCCCTCGTCACCCGGCACTTCCCTAGTGGCAAGTTCGGAGCCCCTGGCGACAGACGAAGAGCGCCCGGCTCCCGGCCGGCAGGTCCGGGCTCCTGAGGGGCTGACCCCGGCCGGCAGGAGCCGCCCCGCCCGAGATCGGGCTGCGCCCTCCGCCACCGCCCCTAAAGAGGTGGGGAAGGCAGCGCTGCCAGGCGGGGCTGGCAGCAAGATGGCGCCGGCAGTGCGGGGGCTGAAGAGCTTCGTGTGGCAGAGTGAGTGACTGTGGGGCTCCTTCCCCG